AGGAAATTGGGGCAGGGCAGCCCCGTCCAGAGCACCTGGGGACAGCAGGGGACACTTGGGGACACTTGGGGACATTGGGGACACCTCTGGGGACACCTCTGGGGACACCTCTGGGGACACCTCTGGGGACAAACGCACCCAAATGGCCCCAAAAATGTCCCCAAAGTGGCTCCAAAATGGCCCCAAACTGCCCCAAAGCCACCACAAAATGTCCCCAAATGTCCCAAAATGTCCCCAAATCCCCTTAGAGCCACCCCAGCCACACCAAATGTCCCCAAAATGTCCCCAAATCCCCCCAAAACCTCCCCAAATGTCCCCAAATGTCCCCAAAAGGCCCCAAACCCCCCAAAGCCACCCCAAATGTCCCCAAAATGTCCCCAAATCCCCTCAAAACCACCCAAAGGCAACCCAAATGTCCCCAAAATGTCCCAAATGTCCCCAAATGTCCCAAAAATGTCCCCAAACCCCTCCAGAATATCCCCAAACCCCCCAAAACCACCCCAAAATGTCCCCAAAATGTCCCCAAATCCCGTCAAAGCCACCCAAAGGCAACCCAAATGTCCCCAAAATGTCCCAAAACCACCCCAGAACGTCCCCAAATGTCCCCAAAATGTCCCAAAACCACCCCAGAACGTCCCCAAATGTCCCCAAAATCGCCCCAGCTGTCCCCAAATGTCCCCAAGTGTCCCCAAGTGTCCCAAATGTCCCCAAAATGTCCCCAAGGAACCACAAAGCCACCCCAGAATCTCCTCAGAGAATGTCCCCAAAATGTCCCAAAACCGCCCCAGAACGTCCCCAAATGTCCCCAAAACCACCTCAGAACGTCCCCAAATGTCCCCAAAACCACCCCAAATGTCCCCAAATGTCCCCAAAACCACCTCAGAATGTCCCCAAATGTCCCCAAAACCACCCCAAGTGTCCCCAAATGTCCCCAAGTGTCCCCAAGTGTCCCAAATGTCCCCTAAGAACCACAAAGCCACCCCAGAATCTCCTCAGAGAACGTCCCCAAAATGTCCCAGAACCGCCCCAGAACGTCCCCAAATGTCCCCAAAACCACCTCAGAATGTCCCCAAGTGTCCCCAAATGTCCCCAAATGTCCCCAAATGTCCCCAGTGTCCCCAGTGTCCCCAGTGTCCCCAGAGCCGGGCACCTCGCAGAGCTGCCGCGTCCCCTCGGGGCCCAGCAGCCGCTGGAAGCGGAACTGGAGCCAGCGGGAGCAGCAACGG